AGAGACAGGGTCTTGCCATATTGTCCAGGCTGGAGTGCAGTGGTGTGATCACAGTTTGCTGAAGCCTCAACCTACTGGGCTGAAGTAATCTTCTGCCTCAGCCCCTCAAGTAGCTGGAACTAGATGCCTGTGCCTCTTCACCTAACTACTTTTTGTACTTTTTGTAGAGCAGGGGTCTCCCTACGTTGCCCAGGCTGGTCTCAAAGTCCTTCCCTGAAAATATCCTCCCGCCTTGGCCTCCCAAAATGCTGGGATTACAGGCGTGAGCGTCAGCCACAGCACCTGGCCTGAAAACTCGCTATTCTGTGACAGTCTCTTCTGACTCCCATCCCTCACCCCCAACCCACATGCCAGGGTTCGCTTACCCATAGGAATGGCCAATGAGCACATTTCGCTTCTTGGCATAGCGCTTGAAGATCGCTCGCATGTCCTCAGCCAGCGCGTAGAAGGTATACGCTGCGGCCACCTGGGGCGCAGAGCTGGCCCCGTGGCCGGCCAGGTCAGGAGCCACCACCTCATAGCCTAGGCGTACAAAGAAGTCCAGCTGCTCCTTCCAGATGGCCAGGGAGCCGCCGACACCATGGATGAAAAAGAGCACCACGTCGGCCTGGGCGCCTTTGCAGCTAGTGATGCGCTTCTCACAGTCAATATGGATGGTCCTCTTGGGGCGCCGGGCTCGCCGCCGCCGCCCACCATTACCACTGCCGCTGCCGCTGCCAGCACTGCCGGGGCCCGAGCGGCCATCGCTGCCCGCCGGGTCGGCCAGCTCCACTTCCAGGGCGGCCGGCGGCTCCCCGGAGCCATTCTGCCCGTTCAGGAGGTCGGCTCGAGGGGCTCGGCCCAGGTTTTCCACCAACAACCGCCCATTGCGGTACACGGTGATGCGGCGCTGACAGCGGACCAAGCCGGAGAGGTCCCCCTGGGCGGCATCCGAGGACGCGGATGATAGCGGAGGTGGGGCAGCGGTCGGGGCGGGTCCTGCATGCTTCACCCGCAGCACGCGGCCAGGCTTGACCTCTACAAAGGTGTAGCCATCGCTGGACTCGACGCTCTCCAGGGGCCCCACCGCGTTGGGGGGCGTGCCCAGCAGGCAACAGAAGATACCGTCGGTCACCCCGGTCAGCATGCTGTGTCCTGTGAGTGGGGACAGCAGCCAGCTCAGGTGCTGCCTCAATAAGAACCCTCCACCCTGCAGCACCCACTCTCTGAGCCTTGGGGGAACCCTTCCAGACTCCAGTTTGGGGAGTGCAAGAGCAAGTGAGCCACGATTTTTTGCTTTTGTTTTTGTTTGAGTGTGTGTGTGTGTGTTTTGAGACAGGCTGGCTTTGTCATCCAGGCTGGAGTGCAGTGGCACGATCTCGGCTTACTGCAGCCTCCACCTCCCAGGTTCAAGTGATTCTTCTGTCTCAGCCTCCTGAGTAGTTGGGACTACGGGTGTGAGCCACCATGCCCAGGTAATTTTTGTATTTTTAGTAGAGATTGGGTTTCACAATGATGGCCAGGCTGGTCTCGATCTCCTGACCTCAGGTGATCCACCCACCTTGGCCTCCCAAAATGCTAGGATTACAGCTGTGAGCCACTGAGCACTAAGATGCTTTTCTGGGCAGTGCCTTCATGGTTGTCAGACACCCTCCTGGGCCACCTTAGTCTATCCTCAGAGAGAAAGACTTGGCTATGGCTTACCCGGTAGGGTGTCCACAGGGAAGGTGGGGTCTGGTGGGGTCGATCCTTAAAGAAGGGGACATTGTGGCAGATGTGGCCCAGCCCTGGAGACACCCCCTCCCCACCACCTGGAGTTTATACCATTTATGGCCTCCTAACTCATTCATTGAGGTATGAGCTAACTCAGTCATTCAGGTGTGCACTAACTTACTAACTCATTCAGGTATGCACTCACTAACTCACGTATCGTATCCGAGTGCTTCCTAAGGCGTCTTAAATGTGCAAATCTTTGGTGAGCCCTCAGTGAGACTCCTGGCTCTGAATTTGATCCAGAAAGGTGAGGCCTTGGGGGAGGGGGCTGGGGACTGAGCCACCGAAAGCCTTGCTTAGCTCCCTTACCTAGACCGGGGTGTGCCGCGGTCTGTTTCACAGAGGGCCAAGCTGAGGCCCAGACACTCTGAGAGGAAGCTAGACTCTGAACCCCCTCCTCCGTACCCTGGGTGCTGGGGATCTGCCACACAAGTCCCCGGCAGACAGGGGAGGCAAGGCCCTGGCTGGGGGCCTCCGAGCCTCCATCCCACTCCTTGGGCCACCCCCGCCCCCGTGTCCATGGCAACCACGGGCCGTTACATAACCTAAGGGGGGATACCCAAGCAATGCACCCCCATTGTCTAGGTGTCTAGGGCCTGGAGATGGGGCCAACTGCCTTCCTGCTCCCCAACCCAGGTTGGGCGCCGCTACGGTAACGCACCGCCGAGACTGAGACCGCAGTGGACCCAGGAATACTGGAGTGGAAGCAGGCTGTGCCCCCCACTTCGAGTGGGGCCCTAATCCCGGATTGCGGAGGGCAACGCACAGGCGCCACCCCAGCCCCGCTTCCCCGCGCCCGGCCCCCGCCTTCCAGGTGTTCGTCATCCCTGCGGCGGGGTCCAGCCCACTGGGCTCCGTGGCTTCCTAAGAGCCCAAACGCGGGGTTGGTGGACACCACTCCTCCGAAGTGGAGGCCCCGGGGCTTCGATCTCTCCTTTTGGGGCCCGCTCCCCGCTCACCTCATCGAGGGCCGTGGGGCCCGGGTCGGGGCGGAGGAGGTCCCGGGCGGAGAAGCCAGCGTCCTTCTGCTGGCGCCGTTTACATGGTGGCGCGGTGTCAGGCCGGGTGAATCTACGTGGGCGGGCACCAGCCCCTGGCGGTCAGCGCAGGGGCATCCCGCGGCCGCGGAAAGAACCGGCCCTTTAAGTTCCTCCCCCCGAGTAGGCGGAGCCGCGAGCCGACGAGCGGGCGCCTCGGCCTATCCCAGCTGCGGACTGACCTGGCCTAGTTAGGCGCCCAATCAGAGGCGGCAGTTCTGGAGTGGAGGCGGGCTCTGGGAGTAACAGCCCCGCCCCTTTTGGGGTCTCACCGGGGTGGGGGGAGGGATTGGGCCTGGCTCTAGGTGGAGAAGAGGTTTGCAGTCTGGAGTCTGCCCGACGCCTGGGAGTGCATGGCCAGGGCCCTTTCTCTGCAAATGGGTCTCCCAAGCCCTGTTCCTCTCCAAACGATGCCCCCATGCTCCTCTCTCTATATTGACCTTTCCATTCTAGGAGAAGACTCCAAGATCTTTTTCCAATCTCCGGTGGTGAAACTGAGGCTCATAAGGGGCAAAAGAGCATAAATCAAGCAAGGGACAAAGCTGGGACTTGAACCCAAGGCTGTGTGATTCCAACACCTGGGAACCATTATTCACTAACCTTCCCCACCCCTTGATTTTTGGTAGGGAGGAGGTCTCAAACTCCGGGCCTCAAGCAATCCGCTAGCCTCGGCCTCCCAATGTGCTGGGATTACAGGCGTGAGCCATCACGACGGGCTTCTCTAAAGCTTTCAAGGGAAGTCTTGGTGCTAGAGTAATTAGAGAGTTTGAATTTCATAATCAGCAGATTGAACTTATGGCTGCCATGGTTCTGAGGAGGGCTGAGAGCCAGAGGCAGGCATTTTAGTTTTGCGGTCCTGGCGGGGCCACGGTAGGAGAGCCCTAGGAAAGCCCATCTCTTAAACCCAGCCTCTGCCCTTTGCTGATGTGTGACCTTGGGCAAGTCACTTCACTTTCCTGAGCCTGTTTATTTCTCTATGAAATTAATCCTCTGATAAGTCTGCTATTCAGGCAAAGTACTCATCTAAGTGTTATGCATATAACAAGTCCTCATATATTATGGGCATTATTGTGGTGGTGATGTTTTGCTAAATGATGCTGCAGGTAGGATGGTCTTTGGAGGATGAAGGGTTAAATGCTCCTTGCTGCTCGGCCACTCCCATCCTCTGGAATTTGCTGCTAGGGCTGGATTCGGTCCAGCCACCCACTCTTGCCCACGCAGGGCACTTCTGGGAGACTATACCGTTTATTCATTTAGCAAACACCTCTCTGTATGAACCACAAGCTGGCACTTGTAGAGATACAGCCCCAGACCTGGCCCTTGGGGAGCGCCTGAACTTGAGGGAGAGTTAAGGGAAGGCAGTTGGGCCAGAAGAATGGACAGGGGTTGAGAGAAGAGGACTATTTTTTTTTTTTTTCCAAGAAAACAAATCTTACTGAAATTTTAATTGGAATTGTATTTATATCATAATTTGGGGATTTTGACTTTTTCTTTCTTTTTTTAAATTGCATTTTAGGTTTTGGGGTACATGTGAAGAACATGCAAAATTGTTGCATAGGTACACACGTGGCAGTGTGATTTGCTGCCTTCCTCTCCTTCACCTATATCTGGCATTTCTCCCCATGCCATCTTTCCCCAGGTCCCCAC